ACAGAGCTGGCACTAGAACACGGCCTTTTGCCTGTAACCAGGAGTGAACTCAAAGCCCGGGGCCTGACCCCAGCCACAGCCAGAAAGAAACTTTCTACATGATGATTCATCCCTTAGAACGCAGCCACAGCCCCAGGGGTAGTGCCCTAGCAGGCAGTTCCTTGACAGGAAACCTCTGCATTTGGTTTCCTTTGGATTTTTATGTAGAAATCTTCAGCGCACTTGCTGTGCCCTCTAAGAGCTGGGGGAGGTGGGAATGGGAAAGGTCCCTCCTTGGCTCTATCCCTTCTCTGGCTGCTGGCTCACAGTGACCACAGCGGCATCCCCGTCCCACTGCTGTGTGCTCCCCTGCTGTGTGAACCAAAGGGCTAGAGTTAGACAGGTAAACAGGGGGAGATAAGGAACTGGAGGGGCGGGCTGTGGGTGCAGGAGGCGGTGGAGTTATGGGAGAGAAGGCTGGTGTGGCATCCTGAGCCAGGCCACAGGTGACTTTGAACAACAGGCCCCAGGGCTTGGACTTCATCCTGTAAGCCAGTGCAACCTAGCCTTTTTCTCATGGTGACATAGGACCATAGTACCATTTGTCCTGGGGTGGACCAAAGAGCTGCCCCGGCCCCCACTCTGCGGCCCTCAGCTCACGGGTTGGGAAGCTCTGCTGCAGGTCACAAAACCTGCTGGTGGCTTTAATAAAGTGCTCCAGTGGCTGGGTGGTGGGTGGAAAGCTGTAAAGAAGTCAGTCACTGAGGAGTCTGAGCTCGCAGGAGGAACGCAGGTGCCTGGGCCTGAGGCAGCGGAACAAGAGAAAGTGGGCCAGGGCTGATCCTTCTGAAAACGCAGGCCCTGTCGTGCCTCTGAGCCTGCCTTGAAGCACTTCCAGTACCTTCTCTACCTTCTGCTCTGTGCAACGCAGAACCTACGCAGTCAAGTTTCTGGCCTTCAAAGTCCAGGTCAAGAATGACAGCATCAAAGCCCCAAAGCACCAGAACGACAGGGGACGGCCCAAGGCAGAACTGACCGCTGCACCGCTAGAATCAGAAAATTCAAGCTCCAGTCTGGCTGGGTGCCCATGACAGTTTCACGTTCCTGAAAGGCAGAGACTAGAACCAGCTTTCATCCCCAGTGTCTGCAAGATGCTACGCGCTAAACAGCGCAGAGAAGGGCTGTGGCTTATTTGGGTGCTGGAGGCTTCACACATGAACGAAACCTTCTTTAAATTCTGGCCCAACATCCCTTTTTGTCCAATAGTACAGTGACCCCCAGAACTGGTGGAGCACTGAGCTGGACCCTGAGGCTCAGGCAAAAAGAGAGGGAGCAGCCAGAACAGGTTGTCTTTGGAAGGACACCGGAGCCCTCGTAGCCAACAGCCAGGCAGGGAGCTAAGGCATAGACCTATTAACTCACCACCTCTAGCGTCAATTTGAGAAAATATGTCCCTGCCTTCCAATATGGCTCCAAGGAATCGGGGACCACCTGGCAGAGGCTGCCAACACCCGCAATTCCATCTTCTCCTCTCCAAAAAGGTCAACAGCTTGGACCACCCCCGTTTTCTTGCAAGGGACCCTGTGAGGGTGGCACAGGCCGTCTGCCCAGAGGGACGTGTCCGTGCCCTTTCCAAGGGCTCCTCCTTGACGAAGGCCTTTATGAGCAATGCATGTTCACATATGCATGAGAACCGTATCTGCTCCAGAATCAGACAAACGAAGGTGAGAGGCAGGCCTCTTGGCAGGGGCCATCATTCTGCCCAGCTCACCCTGACCTCCACAGACAGGTCTAGAAATCTTCATTCCAATGTTTTTTGTGGGGCAGAAGAGATCATACTGCATGGATTTCAGAATCCCACAGTTCAGGGCGAGAGATCAAGGCCTTGGATGAGCAAGTGAGCAGAGGCCAAGCTTCCTCTAAGTCAACTTAAACACATAGATATATGAAAAGATAGAAAAATAAAGCTCTATTATTAAACCATTCTTCCCTGAAATGCAGTATCCCAGAGGCCATAACCTCAGGGCTACCTCATTACTGACCCCAGGATTACCCCAACCCAGGGCCCCAAGAGAGTTGAAGCTTTCTGAAAAGAATCAGGAATGCCTGACCCTGACAGCAGCTGCTGCCTGCAGATGGAGGCCGGGAATCCTTCTCAAGCCCTATGATTACAGATCCGTAAAATCCCGCTGCGGCCCTCCTTCCATCGCGACTGTGGCTACCTGTGCTATAAGAAGGGACTCAAGTTTTAGCAGCAGCCCCTCTGCCTGGACTCCACCTGCCTCCCTCAACTGCCACCTGCACTGAGTTCAGAAGAACAAGACCCCGCTGGTGGCCCCCAAAGCTGATCATGCAGGCACAGAGCAGCCAGCCGACACCCGACAGCCAGTTATGGCAGATGCTCTAAGCTCAGTGCAGAGCACCTTCTGGACTTTGCCCTTTGGCTGAGACTTCCTGAGTACCACAGAACCAAGGAGAGAAAATGCCTATTAAGCATTCAGTCAGGAAACTAAAGGAAAAATCAAGAGAAGACAGATGCTGGCCCCCAACTCCACTCCCAGTCTCTTCTCAGCAATGCTAAGCAAAGCACAAAACCCGACACAGTAACTCTACAGTGCTAATGTCCCCCAAAAGACATGGACAGCTTCATTCATTCATAATAGCCCCAAACTGCACACAACCCAAAGGTCCCTCAACAGGTGAAAGGGTCATCAAACGGTGGCATCTACACCATGGAGTAGTGCTCAGCAAGAAAGGGAACTCCAGATACAGGTGACAGTACAGAGGAATCACACCAGCACAATGCTAAAAAAAAAAGGCTGGGGTACATCCTGTAGGATTCAATTGAGTATCAGGTTCTAGTGGCAAAAGTAATTTTCAGTAATGAAGATCAAGTTAGTACCCTTGGTTGTCAGGGGCTGTGTTACTGGCTGGGAAGGAGGAGCTAGGGTACTTGACCATCTAGGGTACTGGAAATCTACATCTTGATCTGGGTGATTGTTACACAGATGTACCCATATATAAAGTTTTGTCGAATTTAAAAATATGTGCACATTTATACATATACATATACATTTAAAAGTTTGTTTTTTAAATGGTGAAGCCTGTTGATGCTTACATTGTAACTGACATTTCCCTAAAAGTGAGGACAGTTCACAGGGAGCTGAGGGGGAGGAGCCTACTCAGTGAACTCCTACCCAACCTCCAGGACCCATCTCAAATTGTCCCTGTTCTGTGAAGCCTTCTCCCACTGTTCTGGTTGTAAGCTAATGCCCATATTGCCGGGCATCTCTTCACAACGTCAGTCTTCTCTAAACCAGGAGCTAATCCTGGAGGAATGCAGGAACTTGTTGCACCAAGCATTGGTTAGTATGTGCTTATTAAATACCCAAAGATTGCCTAAGAACAGATATACACACACACACACACACACACACACACACACCCTGACAGTTCAAACAAAATGGTATCTCAGCAGAAGACACTAATGCCCACCCCCAAATAGGATGTCAGTTTTTCTAAGGCAACAGGATCCAGGCACTTGGCTTATCATCAAAAGAGACACTTTCAACATCCCCAGCCCAAGCCTCCTCCTTTAATCACGGCCAGAGAGATCAGAAGAGCACAGAGCAGTTTCCAGTGTCCACCCCAGGAGGCTACCAACTCCTTTTGAGGTCACCTCTGCCAGCACTGTCCTTGCCCAAGCTAGGGGCGGGCCAGATCCACCTGGGCTCCCAGGAAACATTCCATCAGGTGTAATGTTTAAACCTAACTGCTCCGCCATCCCCCAGCGGCTGGGGCTCCCTGCCCTCTAACAGTAGTCACTGCCCTTGCTGGGGGAGGGCACCAACAGCCCCATCACCTCTCTGCCCAGGCCTCCCAGCTGGCTCCCAGCCCCTCCTAACCTTGAACTCTCTAGAAACCCATGCCTGCAGGCGAAGTGGCTACAGAAACTTCACCTGTACAGGTCAAGGTGGGTGAAGAAGGGCCGGAAGTGGTGTTCCATCCAGTTCTGCAAAGCCCATGTACTTAAAAAAGAAGAAGAAGAAGGAGAAGAAGAAGAAGAGGAAGAAGAAGAAGCAGCAGCAGCAGCAGCAGCTGGAAATACACTTCCACGAGGAAGAGCTCCCTTTTGGGTGGGTAGGTTGTGGGAAAAATTATGGGTGACTTTTTTCCTTCAAATATTTTTGTGCTTTCTAAGTTTCCACATTGAATAAATTCTTTCGAAAGAGAAACACACTTCATGTGTGGCACCGCCACCCCCAGCCGCTCTACACCACGGGAGCTTCTGTTTCACCTCTTCTCAGCTGCCTCCCAGGTAGACGCCCTGGTCCCCATGTCCTGTGCCCAGGCAGGGTCCGCGTGGTGGCGGGCTGGACTCTCGCGCTCTCCCTAGTTGGAGTCCTGATCTTGCAGGGGAGGGGCAGCTCCCTCAGCAAAGTGGACAGTGGAGATGGGTGCTTGCCTGACCTCACCGATCCGATCCGCACCCCGACCTCCTCTCCCCAGCTCACCCCCTGAATTCAGCGCCGCCCACCATTCAATTCCCCTTGCTTCGAAGGTACTTAGAAGTGCGCGAACTCTTACACTCTCTCTCTCACACACACACACACACACACACTCACACACACACACACACACACAGACGGAGTCGCACTGTCTCCTCCCCTCCCTGACCTGGGCCACCGCCCCCAAGAGCCCAAACACAAACTTCTCCAAACTCGCAGCGGTGGCTGGAGGGAGTGGTGACGTCCCCCTAATGAAAATGCGAGCCCTGTCCCCCCAACACACACACGTGTGGCGCCCCACCCCCTGGGCAATTGTAAATCTGGCCGGGCCCGACGCCCTGGGGCTTGGGGGCGGGTGTCCAACTCCAGCCCCCCACCTCAAGGCAAATGACAGGAACCGTGAGCTGCCCGCGAGCGGGGGCGGCGCCAGGGAGTTGCCAAGTGTCGGAGCGGCGACCCGGGCTCCCCGAGCGTCCTGCCGGGCGATCCCGGGGCGAGCCGGGGCTGCGTTACCTTGCAGGTTCTGCACTCGGATGTCACTGATCTGCCCGATGAGCTCCTCGCGTTGGAACCAGTCCCACTCGTGCGCAGCCATGAAGCGCGGGCGGGAGGGCCCGGGCCAGGGCGGCGCGGGCTGCGGGCGCGGAGAGCCTGGCGGGCGGGCGCACGAGCGGCACGCACCCGGCGAGGGCGCCGCGGAGCTGGAGCGGCGGCGGGCGCGGGCGGGGCGCGGGAGGGGCGGGCGGCGCTGTCGGGGCCGCCCCCGCCGCGGGCGGGCAGCGAGCGGGCGCGGGGCGGCGGGTGCGGGGCGCCGGGCTCGCGCTCACTCCCCCGTGCGGGGGCGGGGACCCCGGGAGGCGGGGGGCGAGGGGCGGGGCGGGGCGGGGCGGGGCCGGGGCGGGAGGCCGGGTCAGGCCGGTTTCTTTTTTTTTCTTTCCGGGGTGTTTGTTGGTTGGATTGTTTGGTTGCAAACCAGCAGTGATGAGACGCGGGTCCCGGCCCCCAGATTGTGATGTCTCAATCAATTGCCGGGTGACGCAATGGGGGGTGAGCCCGCGGGTCCCAGTACCTGCTCCAGGAGGCTGCGCGCAGCGCCTCCCTCCCGTCCGGATAAGACGCCCCCTCCTCGGGTCCCTTGTCCCCTGCACATTCTGGAGAGGCAGCCCCCACTAACAGGGACCAGGACCCGAGCCCTGTCCATCCCCGAATCCTGGGAGCCCTGCGTGGGGAGAGTCGAGGGCCTGGGTCGGGGGGCAAACTAGGGTGGAGATGAAGTTGTGGGAGCTCCAAAGTGGGGGGCAGCGGGAGAAGGGCCTCCCCCGTTGGTTTAAATACTAGGAGCCTTTCCGGTCCAGAGATGTGACCCCAATTTTTAGGAAGGAGCGAGAAGCAGGCCACTCCTAAGAGCTGGAGTACGCAGTGGGGTGTCCGGCCACTAAGTCTCCAAGTGACCCTCTCTGGGGTCACTTGAAATGACTGAAAATGCCAGGCTTGACCTTCCGGTCCTCTCCCCCCCACCTCCACTGTTGAACTCTAGAGAATTCCTGGATCTTATCTTGTTTGGGGCCGACCATGCGGTTTACACTGCGTAAAAGTGAGACCCTACAGTTACCGAATTTGCCCAAGGCTGAAGAATGACCTAGGAGCAGAAAGTCCCAGCCCCTGCTCCCAGCTCAGTGCTTGGTCCCCTTCTGTAACAACTAAAAATGGCTTTAAATATGCAGTAAAAGAGAGGGGGGAAATGGACAGGGCTCACTGGGCGTTTAAACACAGGGCCTGTGTGCATCACTGCTCTGTTCACAGCAATGAATTCTGGAAACCCGGCTACTCACTAATTACCCAGTAGCTATGGAGGTCCCCGTGAAGGACAGGCCTGTGTCCTTGAGGCAGGCTCTGAAGGAGGGTGAATCTACCCTCAAGTCATCCATGGGGGCGGGGCTGCAGTGGCCATTAAACAAGGAAAGGAGATCACTGAAGTGCACTCCGGAAAGGAGAAAGTTTGGGTTAAGGAACTGGGAATGGGGGTGGAGGGCAGCAGAGGTCTCTAAAGACTGACCTTGAAGCTGAGCCCTGAAGGAGGGGAGGAACCCCCACTGGGACAGCAGTTTGGGCGGGGGTGGGGGGAGGGGGATCAGTGGAGACAGAAGTTGAGGCCCCCTCAGGGGCTCCAGGGTTCCAGGGCTTGAGGCAGGAACTTCCTCCTGCTGACTTGATTCTTAATCTTGTGGTCATTTCACACTCCAAGGAGCAGGATCCCTTTCTTCGTCCTGTCCCGTGGAGCCAGGGTGGTAGTAGCAGCCAAGCTAATTTTGCCCCATCTGCTAGCCATCTCCCTGTTTTTACACTGCAATTTATTTTCCATAGTTGCTGTGGGGTGAAGTTGTGCTGAAAACCATTTTCTTTACAAAGCAGAGAGCTGAGAGAATCAGCCCTCTCCATCCTGAGAAAGGTTGCTGGGAATCTGGCTTTAAGCCATGTGCTGTGTGGATGTCAGCTGCAGGGATGGGCCATTTTTCATGGTGCAAAGATCACTGGCCTGGGGAATGGACAGCCACATCATTTGGTGAACATTACCCAGACAGCAACAGTTCCCTAGCAGGGAGGGACTATGAGCACCATCAATTGAACACCAACTGAATACCAGATGTTGGATGACTCTCAGCCGAAATTACTTCTTTGCTTTGCAGTAAGGTGGAAAGAATTTTAGGTGTTTTTCAAAAAGGAAGAGAAGCCGGTGCTGAGCATGAGGCTGGCCTCTAAAAGGTACTTGAATATTCATTGAACTCATGTGTCAATATCACCCTCGTCCCCTTCAGTGTCTCTGGCTCCTCAGTGGAGCACACAAGGTCATCTGTGATTGATCCGTGCCCCTCAATCCTGGCTCTACACTTTCGTCCCAGCAGTGCTGAGCTGCTGCAGGTCCTGGCCATATCCAGTCACTTCCAGACCTTTGCTCAATTTTCCCCTTTGAAATGCCCTTCCCCTGCTCCCTGCGCTTCGCCTCTACCTAGCTTACTCCTGCTTAATCATGTGCACCTCCGAGAGCCTTCTCCAGCACCCATAGGCCCAGCTGGGTGCCTGTCTTATACGATTCCTATAATATTAGGTACAATCACATAATATTCAATGAATGCTGCAATTCTGCTTCCCCATCGCATGGTACTATAATTATGTTTACTTGACGGTTTTCCTCAATAAATTTTGAAGTACTTGAAAACAAGGGCTGTTCTGTGTCTGGCAGAGAGAGAGAGAGGTCTCAACATTAAATGGATGGATGAATAAATGATTCTCACTATAGGCCTAAGCCCAGAAAGCAGAGGACCAAAGTGAAAAAACAGTTGACCTTCCTGTCCCAGGCCCCAGTACACTTCTGGAAAGGTGATGTTTAAGAAGTTTGCATATGCGCAGCAGACAAAGCACATGCTTTTGGGAACCAGGCAAATACCAGTCTGTGAAACGTCCCTTCCTCTGGGTGTGCCCAGCCTCCTGGGTCTGGAGCTGGCTGGGGGAGAAGGGTGTGTGACTTTCAGAAAGAATTAGGTATTCGGCGTCTTGCATGAATCAACAGTACTCTTTTTATTTTGCACTTTTTGGGGGGAAGGAGAAGTATTCTGCGCGAAGGCTTGGCTTCCTGGGAGTTTCCAGAAACTGAGTTTATAGAAGTTGCCCAATTCTGCTAGAATCCTTGTCATTGTTTAAAAGTGATTTCTGCTGAGGGAAAGGACTTGGAGTCAGAGAATTGTAGAGAATCCCCGAAATGAACCTTAGAGATCACTAAATCTAACATCTCTTCCCGAGTACGGGCTTCTAAAACATGGTCCAGACAGGCCCAGACTCCCTGCGCCATCTCATGATGGATGGCCCAGCGGTCTTCCTGCCTCTCCTTACGCGAACTGACGAACTCTGGCAGGAAACCCAGGCGGAGGTTTTCATCTCCTCATCCCAGACCCACTCTGGGGAAGAATGGGACAATGAAGATAACCCCAGCGTATCCTCCCAGCCATTTCCAGGAAGGGAGTGTGCTGGGGGCTTTGGGAAGTAGGATGCTGCCTTCTCTGGTCCCGGCCTCAAGCCCTCACATGAGTACAGCCCTTTAGGGTTTGGGCAGCCCTTCCTTAGCCAGTGTTCGTCTGGTCTTTGCAGTGACTTCATGAGGCCAAGGAGGCAGGGATGAGTTTTAGATGGGGCTTAAAGCTACCCAGTAACCTGCCCAAGATCACAGAGCAAGACAAAAACCAGACTCTGTCCTATAGCTCTTACCGCCTACCCTCATCTCTTCCAAATATGACTGCATAACGACTTACACTACGGTCCAGACCAACGCTTAGCAATTGGTATTAGTCATATGTTTAATGTTGTATTTTTTGAAAAGTCTTAACTCCATTAAATCAGAGTGCTCACCAGCATATAAAAACCTTTAGAAATTTCAAATTAAGTCCAATGAAGTGATTATTTTGGATCCTAGCTAGATTGACCAATGCATATCTTTCAAATGGGCCAAAAACATCTTGTGGGCAGGGGGCTTGAATTATGATGTCGCCGATCTGCACTGTATCATAAAGACCCCCTGGAATTGGTCACCCAGGGTCTGGCCCTGTGCTAGCACTCAACCGTGAACAAGACCCAGAATCTACCTGTGAGGAGGGGTTCCAGCTCTCTACAGTATAGCCTGGCTCTGCAGTTTAGACCTTGCGAAAAGGCATCCAGGAGCCTTCAGAGGACTTAAAAGGATCAGACTGTCCCTTTAGTTGTGGTGTGAAGAGGAATGAGGCAGGCTGTCAGGCAGCCCAGCTGGCCTCAGTGATACAGGTGTCAGGCGGCCTTCACCAGAGTGGTGGTCACAGAGATGGATTCTCCAGCTGTTCAGACAGTGGAGTCAGCAGTACCTGGTGGCTGGCTAAGGAATTTTGCAACACCCTGTCCATACGCTTTTGCTTCTAGGACTGCTGTATGTCGGTTACACCCAGTACACTGCAAACTCCTCAAGAATGCCTTGCAAGCAGAGCAGTCTCATTCATCTGTGCATCACCAGAGCCCAGTACTGTGCTGAGCACATAGTAGGAGCTCAATAAATGTTAGTTGCATGCATGAATAAACAAATTATATTTAAACTTCACCAAGCAATAACTCCTAATCCTCATTGAGTACCAAGCTCCTCAAGAGAGTCAGGGTCTCATCTGTCTCATCTTTGCCTAGGGGATGCTGGGCGTCAGCCTGTCTGCTGAGGTTTTTCCTACTCAACTTTTCTCACCCATTGCCACCTTCCTCCAGGAATCCTGTGGGGGATGATGCAAAGGATGGTAGCAGAGAAAGATGCTGAGACACAGAAAGAATCCAGGCTCGGGCAAAAGGATGGTAGGTGTGGTGCTGTAAGCAGCAGACAGGAGTGGCTACTCACGAGCTATGTGACCGTGAGCAAGCTCCTGATTTCTTTTGGCCTCTGTGCTCTCATCTGTAAAATGGGGCCCAGCGTCCCTATCTGGAAGGATTGTGTGAGATCAGAGATGAGCATCTAGAGAAGAGATGCTTCAGTGAGGCTCTTCAGTAAGATTCAGATCGTTCCCATGGCACAGAGTGAACAACATTCAGAAGAAAAACTTCCCCTGACCTTGGGAGATTACCTATAAGCAAAAGATTAATATATTCTCTGAGATTTTATTAAATTTTTTGGTGTGTGTAGGTGTTGGTGGGTGGTTAAAAAAATC